TATGAGTTTTACCCCCAAGGGCTGGGGTAGGTTGAAGGAGGGGTACTCTAGATCAAAAAGAAGAGACACAGAAATGGCTTATCTGTTGTTGATTCTGGGCTCAAGATCAAGCAGTGGTTACAACAAATGTGTCAAGGAATTACAGCGTTGGATCAGTGAATCACCTTCTTTCCATTTCTTTTTTTGTTTTCTCCTTAGCTTTGAACATGGAGGAGTATTTAAGAAGTTTAACGAGGCGCTAAGAGTTCTAGATATCAAAACGACAGCAACTTATCAAATGTGATGTAGAAAGAGTGTTTTTCTCACTGGCAGGATTTGGAAGTTTTCCCTCTGAACATAATTTAATCATTTCTTTTCCCACCCAGCTCGCTCCTTTACATTTCAATTTAGGACTCTGCGAGAGGTGTGATTCTATCTCCATGCCCCACAAAGACGGTATTATGCCAAAGGGGAAATCGAACCTTAAGGACTGGCACTTTCCCTGCTGTAGATCTTATTAAGTATGTCCCTCAATAATACGACTCAGCTTGACTCCTCCAGACCACACCTCTGTGCAGAAAAAAAACCCTGTCCATCACGGGGCCTGGTGAGACCCTGACATGGTGAGCTGTGGAATGATTGGCACTTCATAGGATGTGTGCAGGCTCAGGGGAGAAATAGAGAAAGGCTTGTGCAACACGTCGACTTCTGTTAAGTTGTGGACCACCGACGCTGGCTATTTGATATAACATACAGAATCATATGTAAACATCCATGATATGTTGTTGGAAAAATATATTTTTGAGGGCAGCAAACTCTCTCAATGTGCCAATGTATCTTAAGTAATATAATGTTTGTATCAAGAAGTGACCCAGTTTAAATTGGTCTGTTTTTTTCATTAAACTATAAAAAAAAGGGTTTATTTTGCAAGCAGTCAAGTGACAGTGGAGACTCCTGGACATAATCACATGTCTGCGATAGTATTGATGTTGATACCTGAAAAATCTGGTGAAATTCAAATCAGTAAAGCTGTTCACTCCAGTTCAGGTGAGGAAACATAAGAACAAGAGAATGAGAAGAACTATATTTAATTGGAACCAGCTGGACTTTCTTTTTGTGCAGACTTATTCCGGTTGTGAATCCACTAAACTTAGCAAGACTAGAGTAGACAGGAGTGTCATGAATTGTAATGTTATAGCTCCAGCAGTTCTAATTTAAACAGCAGTAGCAGAATTTTTTTCTCATGTCAAACAGAAATACAAAGTAGATTTGGAAAAATGTTTAACAATTTTTGTATTTTTAGACCCTAACTCAAAAAGAGTAACATGCATTATATATATGCATATATGAAAATGTGCTGTGAATCTTTTTTAAGAGGGGAGCTAAGACACTACTGTGTGTAATTTATTAAAATAAAATAAAATGGTTTCAAATTCAAAAAATGTTTAACAATCTTTGTCTTTGTTATAATGGCATGAAAGTTTTAACATCATTGATTTCTACAATAAATGTGTTTAATTACAGAATATGAGCAGAAAACCCTGTCAAAACATTTCTGAAACATACTGTAAAGTGATACATGTGCCGTATATGTAAACAGCAGCATTTTAGAGTGGAGGTAGACAAAATGTAGACAGCTGGTTACTTAAAAAGCAAATGGAAACCTGTGGCCATCGTGTAGACAGGCCAACAGTTCCTGATCCGTGGCTGTTCTAGTGTCCTGCTCAGAGGACGACCAGCTGTGGAAGACGTGTGAGAAGAATAAAGGGAATCTCACACCATTACTCAGGATGAATCAAAAGAGGTAGACTTTGAACAAAAGAAAAGCATGAGACGAGCGAAAAAGTGAAACCAGCTGTCTGGAAGTGCCTCGTCTACTGTGAGCGCTTAAGCGATGGTGAAGGCTCATATTCATGTTGAAATTTGGGCACAATGAAACGCTTAATGTACCTTTAGGGGACTATCCACCTTCCACCTCGCCGATTTTTATAAACAACGGAGGGCCAGACTGCTCTTTTGTGTTTGTCCCTTTAAAATATATATGAGGTGTAGCAAGAGCAGACAACAAAGGCCCTTCTAACACTTTCTTTTCCTGAGGGGGTTGAGAGCAGAGTGGGCCCACATCAAGCCTGCAGACTTACCCCCGCCATGCTGCACAGGTGCAACTTTAAAAGAGCTCTCACTGGAGGCAGACTGAACGCCTGCAGTAAAGGAAAAAAAAATCCCCCTTTCTCAGCACTCCTTTCTTTTATATGATCATTTAAAGGTCAGAGTGATATTTTGTTGCATCTGATGCCAGGGGACTAGGACTCTGAGTTTTGCATTCCTTCCTATCAGCTGCATGATGATAGTGATTTAGGGATATCGCTGTCTCTGTAACTGATCAAAGGAGAATGTTATTGTGTTGTATATGTATTAATCAAACACCATCAGTGCATTGAAAAACATTACAAATCTGATTTATAAGAGGGAGTACATAAAAAAAATCCACAACACTTGAAGGACAGACAAAGAGAACATTTTGTCATGTAAATGGTGAATGAACTTTATCTAAATCTGTGGCCTGAGGAACTCAGAAAACAAACAGACACAAATTACCATCTCTCTTCCCCTGTCACTAGGTTTCCCTTTTGTCCGCAGACTACCACGGTGATGTCAGTATAGCACTCTCAGGTATTCTTTGGACTTTATGACTTTCCGCTCATAATCTGTGATTAAAGTTGCTGATAGCAAAGTTGTCAGGATGCCATTAAAATGGCAATAAATCATCATGAGCTGATGAAACTGTTGCTCATAATGCTAAAGGTTGCTACTTTTCCTCTGCCAGTGCTGCAGACATGTTGAACTACAAGTGACCTAAATAGGTCTGCTACAGATAAGCTATCTCGCATCCTCAGGAAGTACACCCTTCTAACACTTAAAGAGTCTGTAATATTGCAGAGGTTATGGGTTAAGACATGCTGCTGAAATCTGTTTTACTGCTATACTTGACAAATTAGATGCTAAAGGACATGAACAATAACTTCACATTCTTTCTTTAGCATCAACACCATATTAACAATAAAGTCCTTCATTTTCAGGGTCGACTGATTATACAATATGCAACTTCTGTGATTTAAAGAAATTGGGTGAATATTCTCATTCTGGTGGATATTTTGAGAAATTTTTCTTGGCAGACTTGCTGGAATTCATTTATATTGGTCAGATTTCTTGCACAAGGAGAGTTGAAATAAACCATAAAATAACGTGATGTAAACTGTAGGTGCAAGTAATTAAATAGATTCCCTTCATACTATGTTTTCATCAAAGCGATCCATCACAGGAGGATTTCCTACTTTCTCTTGTGAGCATTGTGGCCTTGGATGTTCAGCGGTCAGCCATTAATGAAGTAAAGGTCGCACTCTGTGCAGAGGAAATGCATGGATACTATCAATCTGTTTCCAAGGCTCGTGCATCAGAAAGGAGCTGGAGGTGAAGGCGGGGTAAAAAGTTTACTGCACTGTAGGTGCCAAACAGTACTTTCAATACCTTCACACCCCACCGCCTCCTCCATCTAGATGACAATAGGCTCTTCTTGTTGACCTGGTATGTTCCACTTCCACAGATGTGGTGTTGTTGTCATTTATCATTTCTTTTCTGTCACTTTGTCAGGCCCCCTCTTTTGCTCACATTTTACCAGCTTTGCTGTTTGATTCAGGAAGAAGAGAGGACTGCTGGAGTGGGTAGGAGAGCGGGAGTTGGTATGGGGGACGACAGGGTGTTAGAGGGGGGACACATTGAGTTTGCCAGTTCAGGCAGAACGATCGACAGGAAGCCAGGCAGGAAGGAAGACGAGCCCCTACCCATGAAGTGCCATTGTTTGTGTGATGTGACTTGAAGCGGCCAGAAATGACTGATGGTGGGCTTCTCAGCTGCTCTGACCCACTTCTCAAAGCGTCACCAAACACATGGCCTGCTGCAGATGGAGCACACAAAAGGAGGAGCTCAGCTTTTCCCCACAATGTTTAATTTATTTAATTTTGGTACATTGTCCACATCCCAGTATTTTCATATTACAGAATTCATGTGGGTTCAATTCCCAGTTGAACCCAAATTGAGTTAAATTGATAACTGAATTTAACTATAAGCAAGAAAGATTTTACTTTTAAAGAAAGTATATTTTGCAACTGATTTCCTCTACTGAAAACTTATTGTGTGCTTATGATGCAATATGCAATATCTCTTGACAGCCAAGCAAAAGGAGATGTTGCTACAGAGCCAGAGTGCCCAAGTCAAAAACGAAAAACCTATTTAGAGACGAAGTGACGAGATATGAAAGAAAGAGAGAGAGAGAAGAAAGCAACTTCTAGATGCTTTCCTTGTCCAACACACCTGAATCATCTGAATGTTTCGTTACCAGGCTTCTGCAGAACTGAGTGACCGTTGATGAGGGAAGTCAGGTGTGCTGTGTACGATGGCAGAGTAAGGCCATTGGAGATAGAAAAAAGGGAGTAAATTTCAGCCTAAAAAAATCCCACATTTTTCTTTAAAAAAAAAAAACATTTTTGAGAATTAAAAATCAATATTTATTTACTTTTGGAAATGTATGGGTATTTCTAGAAAATTTGTGAGATTAAAAATATTTTTTTTTCTTGCAAATGTTCAATTTTCTAAATAAAAATAATTTTCTTTTCTGGAAAATTTCTGAGATTTATTGCAGAATTTCTGAGTTTTTGATGGAAAGTTGCTTTTGTTTTCTATCCACAATTCATCCAGAAGTTACATAATGGAGGCTCTCCTGTCCTGCGGCTGTGGACCCCTGCTTTACCGATGTGGTTGCAGTCTCCATGGTAGTCATTTGTTGCACTGGCCAATACGCCTCTCCTGCTTCAGGCTCATCACAGTATAATAATTTCACAGCAGGCCCAACGCCTTGACGCCTTGACGGAAGCACGTTCAGTTGGATTCAGGTGGGTTGCCATGGAAACAGTCATTTGTGTACTCGAAGTAGGAAATATGTCACCCTGTTGCACATGAGCCAATCACCTGCAGAACAAAACAGTGTGTTTGTTTTGTGTTATTTGTTTTTAAAGTCAAATCCATTTGGCATATATTTTACATCCTGATCGACACTCCGTGCATAAGGTGGCGCTTATGCAGAAGAAGAAAAAGAAAAGGAGGATGAAGACGTTTGGTGCTGGACATGTCAACACTTGTCCCATGTTGCTAATGAGCACTTTTAGCCACGTCATTCAATGACATACAAGTAGAGAAGGAAGGGAGTATGTATGTATCTTTTTCTTAAGCAGTGGCGGCTTGTTTTTCCTGGTTAATGAATGAATCAAACAGACAAAAGTAGTACTGCTTTGAACATAAAAAACACCTCTCAAGCAGGAATCACATTGCGAATTCAAATGTAAACAAATGACGTCCCCGGCTGCCCATGAGCTCCAGTACAGCTCAGTAATTGGGTTTCTGAGGGCACAGGGCGCGCTCCCCCTGAGAGCACTGCTTTTTATCTTTCAACAGCTGAGATGATTTTCGGGCTTCGTTTTTCCCAATGATGCATCTCTGGTTTAGTTACACCTGTTGACGATTTCAAAACAGACAAGAAATTGATTGCAGACATTTTGTTTCATGCTGGTTCTTTCCAGGCTCCTTTCATCGTCTCAGGAGCAGCAGAGAATGTTTGGGCCCATGGGAATCCAGCTGGGCTCTACGGTAATTTTTAGTGATTGTGTTAGATTTCCAGGAAAGTTTGAACTTAATTGTTGAGAAAATATTGTGAAACTACTGAGGTCCAGTTCGTCTATTTATGTTTTTAAACATAAATAGACATGTGTGCTCTGGGTGTCATGAAACAGTTTGCCAGGACCTCCACCTGGACTACAGCAGGAAGATGAACTCTGCTGGCTCCCATCTGCCCACCACTCCACCACTGGAATGGTTCTCTGGCCCTGTTGGGCTCTTGGCCTCATCCTCGCTGACTGAAGATTGGCCAGATGGCGTTATCTATGAACCAATCGGGCGCCTGGCTCCATACCTCATCCCACAGGTAGCTTTTCCAACAGATGAGCTGTATAAAGAAAGCTGCTTTTATTAAGGGCCAACCAATAGGAGAGCAGGGATGTGATCCACCAGTAATGTGGTAATAAAATAAAATATCTGTATTTTCTGCTGTTGTTTGAGGTAATTCTGGGGTTATTAGCTGTGTTTGTACAAAGCTGTTTAACACTGGTTAAATATTTTGAATTGACAAAACCTATTGTAGGAGCCATATATGCAATATACATTTTATGTTGTTTAAAATGTTATTTTGTATTTATGTAAGTTTGAAAAGGATAAGCATCTGTAATTGTATTGTGTTTCAGCTTGTTATGTGGTGCCTTTTGATTGGTTGTTGTCTAATTAGTTTGAAAAGAGAAAAGGTTTTTGCTTTGTAGAAGTCTGGCACCTGGAGTAACACAGTCTTTTGACCGTCACTTTCTATTTGTTTTGAATCTGTTTGTTATTCTTTGTTGTTCAGTAAAACTTGAAGATAACCATCGGATTCAAGAACTCTTTATTTTTAGAAGAAATGTGTCATGTACGAAAGAGCTTTAAGGGGCTAGGCTAGTGAGAGCTTGCCGCACTTACATCAAGTCAAAAGACTGTCTCATGGGAGGACTCTTTCGAGAACGAAAAGAGGACTTACAGAAGAACGGAGATTCAATTCAACTGAAGGAAACGACGGAGTTGAAGAAATAAAATCTGTAAGTGCAACATTGTTATCAAGAGCGACAGCAGCTTCCTCCGCATCAGCTCGGTTGCTAAGCTAACTTCTTAGCCAAACACGTGTCAACTAGATAAATCCCGTGAACTACGGATAAAGAAATCCTGCATATGAAGGAACTCTTGTCACACATGTTTGTGGACTTTTGAGAAGAGTAAGAAGCCAGGAGGCTCACAGTGTATGTGTAAAGATTTAAAAGTAAAGTAAAACGGGACCATATGGCAGACGAAAGTGAAGTTGCACATGTTGGACAGAAGAGGGAGCCAAAGCCCACAGAACGAGCTCGAGATGACAAAATAATCAGATTAAAAGGAGAAAAGGAGAGGAAAGCTGTCACAGTTGACAAAGGAGAAGAATAACATTGAAAGATTGAAACAGAATGAATGCAATGCTGATTTCATAAAAGAAGAATCTCTTCCAATGTTTGTCAAATGTTAGGGGGAGTATGAATGCATTAATTACGAACTATGTGAACTGATAAGTGAAGATGATAAACGTGAGGACCAAGTTGTGTTCGAAGGTAGACATTCTGAGTTCAAACTTTTCTTACAAAGCATCAAAGAATGGATAAAAGATGCAAAATGCTCTCCTGAGGAGGATGTACATCCACACGACAGTACATCGCAAGGATCAAGTACAAGTACAATGCGACTGAAAATTAAAGCAGAACGTGAAGCGCTTTTAGCAAAAGCAGCAGCAATGAAAAAGAAAGAAGCAATTGAAGTTGAAGAAGCCCGTCTTAGGTTTAGAAAAGAGCAACTAGAAATTGAAATGAAGCTTGCCATTTCAGATGCAAAATTAAAGATGTATGAAGAAAATGAAGATGCTCGGAAGTCTGAGATTAGTTCCTTACAAGCTATGTCAAGGCTCAGAGTTGAATATGTTCGTTCTGCGAGTAAATCAGAAAGGCAGGAAATTTTCTCAGATGATGAACAACAGGCAAACGTTGATCCTCCAGTAACAAAAGTCTCGCTTAAAGGACATTTCAACACATGCCCAATGTTCAGACTCTCATTCAGATGATCTGTACCAGGTTCTGCAGCAACAAAATCACCACACTGAGATGCTCATAAAACAACATAGTATATCTCGACTTCATCAAAGAGAAATTTACAGGTGATCCCCTTTCATATAGATCGTTTATAAGAACTTTTGAACATGCTATTGAGAACCAAACTGATAGTCAACAAGATCGGCTATATTATCTAGAACAGTTCACGGGTGGAGAACCACTAGATCTTGTACGCAGCTGTGAGCACATGAATCCAGACAGGGCTTACAGAGAAGCAAGAGCTTTGCTTGATCGACACTATGGAGATGAGTTGACCATTGCCACAGCATATATTAAAAAGGCTATGGAATGGCCTCAGATAAAACCAGATGACAGAAAAGGACTGAATGCATTTGCCCTATTTCTGATTGGATGTTCTAACACAGTGAATGATGTGGGCTACATGAGTGAAATGATCAATCCAACCAATATGAAAAGCATCTTGTGCAAACTGCCTTATAAACTGAAAGAAAAGTGGAGAAGCAATGCTTACAGCATTCAAGAAAGAAAAGGAACACGAGCCAAGTTTCCTGATCTTGTAGAGTTCATCTACCAACATGCTAAGGTTGCTTATGATTCGCTATTTGGAGATATTCTTGATGTCATGCCAGCTAATCAGAGCAGCACGAAGAAAAAATCTGACCAAGTAAAGGGCCTTTCAAAGAGAAGCAGTTTTGCTGTGAATACATCTTGCACTGAAAAGGACACCACTAAGAGTCAACGTAATATAACAACTTCTTCATTCAAGACGATCAGTGCTTTTCAAAGTCCATGTCTTTATTGTAAGAACAACCATGCTTTGAGTGTTTGTAATAAAATTACAGAAAAGCCTTTGAAAGACAGAATACAGTTTCTGAAGTCGCATGGTCTTTGCATGGTCTAACAGCAGGTCATTTATACAAAGCTTGTAGAAAAAAGGCCTCATGTTCTGACTGTTCTCTTAAGCACCTAACTATTCTACATGTGGTGAAGCAGAATGATGTGTCAGAAGAAAACATGGATGACAACCCACAAAACACAAGTGAAGTTACAAGTGCTCTTGTGTCCACTGGACGTAGAAAAGGTGAAGTCACTGGGGCCGGAGGAAATGAATGTATACTTCCAATTGTGCCTGTGCAGATAAGACACAAGAAAAACAGAAACATCATCAAGACATACGTGTTCCTGGATCAAGGCAGCACAGCAACCTTTTGCACCGAGGATCTGGCCAGAAAGTTGAATGTACGAGGGAAAAAGAAAGAAATCCTTCTTCGAACCATGACACAGGAACAGAAAGTCTGTAGTAATGTTCTTACAGATTTAGAGGTTTGTGGAGTTGATGAACAAGACTTCATCATGCTACCAGATGTGTACACTCAACCCGAGATTCCTGCAACAAAGGGTAATATACCAAAGGAGCAGGATTTGGAGAGATGGCCCTACCTGAAACAAGTTCATCTTCCAAAATTAGAGTCAGATATTGGACTTCTCATTGGTGCTAATGCACACAAGGCTATGGAGCCATGGAAGATCGTCAACAGCCAGAATGACGGACCATATGCTGTGAAAACAGCCCTAGGTTGGGTGATAAATGGACCAATCAGCAGATGTCTAGATAGTGAATCACGTGTCACTAAAAAACAAAATTTTCTTGTTATTCGTATATCTGTATTGAGCATTGAAGACATGCTGGAGAAGCAATATAATACAGATTTCCCAGAGCGACAGTATGAGGACAAACAAGAACTGTCTCAGCAGGATAAGCAGTTCATGCATGCTGTAACTACATCAGCACAGTTCATTGATGGTCATTATTGCATCAAGTTGCCTTTGAAGAATGACAATGTGATAATGCCACACAATCGTGGTAATGCTGAGCAAAGGCTTAACTCCTTGAAGAGGAAGCTAAGTAGAGATTCAAACGTTTGTCAAGACTACAAGGCTTTCATGGACAATATACTGAAAAAAGGTTATGCTGTAAAAGTCCCTGAAGAACAGCTGAGTCGAAGTGATGGTCGAGTATGGTTCATTCCACACCATGGAGTGTACCACCCAAAAAAGAAGAAACTCCGAGTTGTGTTTGATTGTACTGCATCTTATTAGGGAGTTTCATTGAACGATCAATTACTGCAAGGACCTGATCTCACGAACACTCTTATTGGAGTTCTGCTCAGATTTAGACAGGAGCCTGTCGCCATGATGGCAGATATTGAATCTATGTTCTACCAAGTCAGAGTCCCAGACGAAGATGCAGACTTGCTGCGTTTTCTTTGGTGGCCAGATGGTGACGAAACTAAAGAAGCGGCAGAATACAGAATGTGTGTACACCTGTTCGGAGCCACGTCATCACCCAGTTGTGCTTCATATTATGCACTGAGAAGAACTGCTAAAGATGGAGCCACAAATACATCAGAAGAAGCAACACAGACAGTTCTGAAGAACTTCTACATGGATGACTGCCTGAAGTCAGTGCCAACAGAGGAAATAGCAGTCAATCTAGCAAAGGAACTTATGACATTGTGTGAAAGTGGTGGATTTCATCTGACTAAATGGATGAGGAATAACAAAACTCTGTTGTACTCCATTCCTGACAGTAAAAGAGCACCTGTCGTTAAAGACTTGGATTTGCAACACAATGAACTTCCTGTAGAACGAGCTTTGGGCGTGCAGTGGTGCACAAGTTCTGACAGTTTCAAGTTCAAAGTTCAGTTGCCAAACAAGCCATGCACAAGAAGAGGCATTTTATCTGTTGCCAGCTCTGTGTACGATCCTTTAGGATTTTTGGCCCCACTTCTTTTACCTGTTAAGTTTATTCTGAGAGAACTTTGCAAAGAGAAGCGGGGATGGGATGAAGACATCACAGAACAGTCACGCCAGACATGGCTGAAATGGTTGTCAGATCTCGACAGGCTTTCTGAAGTGAGTGTGAGCAGATGTCTTAAACCTGTTTCATTTGGATCCACAAAGTCTGCACAAATTCATATCTTCTCTGATGCTAGTCAGGATGGATATGGAGTTGTATCATATCTTTTGTTGACTAATGAACGAGGCAAAACACAAGTGTCATTCCTGATTGGAAAATCCAGGGTAGCACCTCTTAAGCAAATAACAATTCCCAGAATGGAATTAACAGCAGCAGTGGTTGCAGTCAAAGTGGATAGGATGCTGAGAGAAGAACTTGAACTACCACTAAAGAAATCAGTCTTTTGGACTGACAGTACCACAGTACTGAGCTACATCAAAAATGACAGCATTTGCTTCAAAACATTTGTAGCAAACGAATCTCTTTGATCAGGGAACTGACAGACCGATCTCAGTGGAAATATGTGAG